CTGCAGCTCCTGGACCTGCGCTGCTGTCGGCACGGTCGATACCCGAACCTGCCGAACAGAATGTACGGCGTTCAGCCACGTCGCTACTGACGGTACCAGTGGCGGCGGCGGCGGTCTGCGGGGGGCCCCCCCGATGTCCAAGAGGGGCAGCACGAGCGGTGGCGGACGTGTCGCCACCCGTGGAGGCATGTGGACAGCGCTGCCCCTGACACGGCCGCCGCCGCCGCCAGTAGACCCCCCGCTACCTCTCGATCCCTCCGGAGCGCCTATCGGTGTGCAGCCCGAATCTGCCACAGTGCCGCTGCCGTCAGAAGGCGGCGCAGCGTGATCCATTTGTCCGCCGTGTGTGCCCTTCCGTGGTTCTGTAGGGGCCAACACTGCTGCCGTGGCGACGACAGCAGAACCCGCAGGTCCTGTATCTACTTCTGCCCCCTGCTGCTGCTGCTGCTGCTGCTGCTGCAGCAAGGCAGAGCCAGCAGCCACAATCGCCCGCATGAGCTGCTCCTTGCCCTACGAGGAACAGGAGGAGGAGAAAAGGAGGCGGAGGAGTAGGAGGTCAGAAAGCCGACCGGACTGGAAAAGACCATACACGAAGGCTGCCATAACGACCGACTCTGAGAATCGATCCCGCAAGCGCAGCCACGAAAACTCCCCGTGCGTGATGAGGTGCGTGCGTTTCCCGGCGACCGGAAGCTTTCCTCTTCTCTCTGGCCATGGAAATGGGCTCAAGACACGTCCTATGGTAGCACGGCGGTACGACGGTACGACCAACACAACGCACCGTCAGCTCCACACTGCTGTCGATTATGTTGCTCGAGTCCATGTCCTGAGTGTTGCCGAGGGGGTCCCCAGTGCCGCCGCCGCTGCCGCTGTCCGTTTGTACCGCCCTGCCGCCACCACGGCCGCCGCCGCCGCTGCCGCCGCCACCGGCGCTACCTTCGCCGCCAGCCCGACCGCCACCGCCACCATCGTCATCGCTGCTGTCAGCTACGCGGCTGTACCGCTGGAGGACGACAAGCAGCACGACAGTACGGCACATGACGCGGCAGCCAGGCAGTGATGTTGGACACTCAGTGGGGATCCCCACGCCACGTGGAGTACGGAAGGACAGGTCAAGCCTTACTCATCATTCTCTACCCGCCACGACCCCCACGATTCTCCCGGCAACTCCCCCGTGCAGTGAAGTAACTCACATATACATACAGACTTACACAGATACGCATACATAGACAGACAGACAGACAGACAGACAGACAGACAGACAGACAGACAGACAGACAGACAGGCAGACAGGCAGACAGACAGGCAGACAGGCAGACAGACAGACAGACAGACAGACAACAGACAGACAGACAGACAGACAGACAGACAGACAGACAGACAGACAGACAGACAGACAGACAGACAGACAGACAGACAGACAGACAGACAGACAGACAGACAGACAGACAGACGGA